GATTATCAATATTGGAGTCAAAATAAATATTTTTACCAAAAGAGCTGCAAAAAGATAACAAAATTCGAAAAAGGCCTTATTGTACATAATTACCCGAAAAAGAACCAGGAATATTGAAATACTAGATAATACACCGATCGTGCCTGACCGTACTTCCACAGGGAAGCGGTGCACTTGGACACGGTGCATTTGGACACAGCCAATCACAGCACCGTGTGATTAGAGACATTTGTAGGGTCCCTTGGAACAGCGACTTGTGATTGGACTGTGTCCAATTGCCCCGTGTCCAACTGATATACACCCCTTCCACAGCAGCGCTTGAGATCGATATTTCGGCCAAATATATGATTTTTTAATATTTAATTAAAATTATGTGGATGACTCACAAATCTTTTTAATGATACTTCATAACTCTTCATACGAAATATAAACGATACTATACCGAACCTTTGTTTAATTTACCTCCGATCATTATTTCTGGTTAAATATATGGTCCAAAAAAGAACAATTAATTACAAATAATAGAATGACTCACAAATTTTTTCAATTGCACTTCAAAATACTTTATACGACATACAAATGGCTCCTGCAAACAGGACGTAATTCCTTATAGAAATATCATACTAAGAATCATTGATAATTACTTATTATCCAGTATTTTTAATACTGAAAATAAGTAATTATCAATGATTCTTAGTATGATATTTCTATAAGGAATTACGTCCTGTTTGCAGGAGCCATTTGTATGTCGTATAAAGTATTTTGAAGTGCAATTGAAAAAATTTGTGAGTCATTCTATTATTTGTAATTAATTGTTCTTTTTTGGACCATATATTTAACCAGAAATAATGATCGGAGGTAAATTAAACAAAGGTTCGGTATAGTATCGTTTATATTTCGTATGAAGAGTTATGAAGTATCATTAAAAAGATTTGTGAGTCATCCACATAATTTTAATTAAATATTAAAAAATCATATATTTGGCCGAAATATCGATCTCAAGCGCTGCTGTGGAAGGGGTGTATATCAGTTGGACACGGGGCAATTGGACACAGTCCAATCACAAGTCGCTGTTCCAAGGGACCCTACAAATGTCTCTAATCACACGGTGCTGTGATTGGCTGTGTCCAAATGCACCGTGTCCAAGTGCACCGCTTCCCTGTGGAAGTACGGTCAGGCACGATCGGTGTATTATCTAGTATTTCAATATTCCTGGTTCTTTTTCGGGTAATTATGTACAATAAGGCCTTTTTCGAATTTTGTTATCTTTTTGCAGCTCTTTTGGTAAAAATATTTATTTTGACTCCAATATTGATAATCAATCGGAGGAGTCCGAAAAATATGCAAGTTATATATTGTTTTAACTTTTTTTTTCACTTGTAGAACTTATTAAAAAATTATTAAAAAAAAAAGTTGAACACTTTAATAAACTGACTGACGGTTAATGTGACGATAGGTTGAGTTAGGTTAGTTTTGAAGGGGGGTGCAGGGGGCGTAGCTCCCCGCTTGTCGTTCGATATTGCAGTTACATAATGTGATTAAAAGATCAGTAACTTGTTTAAATTGTGGGAAAGCAGCAACGTTCTACTAGTAAAAAAAATTAAAAAAAAGTTAAAACAATATATAACTTATATATTTTTCGGACTCCTCCGATTGATTATCAATATTGGAGTCAAAATAAATATTTTTACCAAAAGAGCTGCAAAAAGATAACAAAATTCGAAAAAGGCCTTATTGTACATAATTACCCGAAAAAGAACCAGGAATATTGAAATACTAGATAATACACCGATCGTGCCTGACCGTACTTCCACAGGGGAGCGGTGCACTTGGACACGGTGCATTTGGACACAGCCAATCACAGCACCGTGTGATTAGAGACATTTGTAGGGTCCCTTGGAACAGCGACTTGTGATTGGACTGTGTCCAATTGCCCCGTGTCCAACTGATATACACCCCTTCCACAGCAGCGCTTGAGATCGATATTTCGGCCAAATATATGATTTTTTAATATTTAATTAAAATTATGTGGATGACTCACAAATCTTTTTAATGATACTTCATAACTCTTCATACGAAATATAAACGATACTATACCGAACCTTTGTTTAATTTACCTCCGATCATTATTTCTGGTTAAATATATGGTCCAAAAAAGAACAATTAATTACAAATAATAGAATGACTCACAAATTTTTTCAATTGCACTTCAAAATACTTTATACGACATACAAATGGCTCCTGCAAACAGGACGTAATTCCTTATAGAAATATCATACTAAGAATCATTGATAATTACTTATTTTCAGTATTAAAAATACTGGATAATAAGTAATTATCAATGATTCTTAGTATGATATTTCTATAAGGGATGCTTGCCGCGCAGTGGAAGTCCGCGCGACAGCCAATCAATATGTTGTTTTTCCGTAAAAGCTAGAAGGTTATTACGGAAAGCAGCATATTGATTGGCTGTCGCGCGAACTTCCGCCGCACGGCAAGCATTACCGCGTCCTGTGTGCAGGAACCAAAACGATTTAAAAGAATAGTTTTCCCACCGGAGTTTTTTTCCGGTCAAATACATACAAATATATTATATTACTGGTTAAAAATATTTGAGAATTTATTTAAGACAATCTTTCAATATAATAACATATTGTGAACAAGACTTATGGCTCCTGCACACAGGACGCGGTAATGCTTGCCGCGCGGCAGCCAATCAATATGTTGTTTTTCCGTAAGAGCTAGAATGTTATTACGGAAAGCAGC